GGGGGGGACAGCAGAGGGAGGGGGGGGCTGCACCGATCGTCGCTAAATACAAGCGATCCGCCGGCTTTACAGCCGGCGGATCGCATGTGTATAAACGGGCATCGCTGCCCTTTTTTAAATTGCGGCCATTTCCCGCTCGGGGGCGTATCTGAGCGTTTTTTTTACTACGGCCGGCCCGGAGGCAGTTAAAATGACATTAAACCCTCAGATTTTTTAACATAAAAAGGGCAATTCTTGCAGTTAAATTATTACATTTTTTTGTGGGTATGGTTACCATATTTTCAAAATGAAATCCGGAGACACTCTACTAACCACAATCGGGCAGCACAGGGGATTATTTGCTCAAAGAGCTAGCAATCAGAATTAAAATACACTTTTCTAACAGACCCTAATCTCTTCCTATGCAGTTTGTCAGCTTTTCCTATGCTTTGCTTGTAAAAGCTTTCAATTCACTGATACTATGGTTGCCCTGTGCCCCCTTTATAGTGAAGGGGCTGGTTATCCTCCTCATTGGTCCTTTTAAGCCTGCAAGCCATAGTTTAAATGCCATGCAGTGCATTATGGTTTGGAAAAATTCTCCCAGGTGAAACTGCATATAAATGCGCCATGACTGTAAATCTTGAACCTACAGGATTTGTCTTGAATCCATGGTAGCAGAGAACCTGAACCTAATCCTTAGCTTCAACCTGTTAGGATGTAAATATTATATAGTACATAATAAAGGAAAACATAAAATAAATTTCACTGTTTCCTAGTATAGAAAGTAGTTACTTAGAGGTAAGAAATCTGTCATACTTGCCTGACTTTTTTTCATGTAAGGAAATTATATGTAAATGTTAAGGCCATTAAAAATCAGACAAAGTGAATTATATTCATAAACATTTTTCATTCCTACAGTTTACCTGTATTTTGCTTACAAAGAGCAAAGCGACAGATAACTTTAATGCTCTTTGCCTCAGCAACATTTACCTTATACTTACCTTCTTTTTGTTCCCCCACCACTCGATTCAGTGAGGAAAGACAGCCCTGTGTAAGCTCTAGTCAGAGCTAGAGTTGAAACTTAAGTCGAAGCTTACACAGTGCTGTATCCTTGCCCACATATCACAATGCTGGGCTAACCCCCATAGAGGGGGGGGGGAATGGGTGGGGTGGAACTATACCTTGGAGAAGTGAAGGCCTTAATAACAGAGTAAAACCAGGTTCAGCAGGCCCCTAGTTTCAGCAGGCTCTACCATAATCCAGATTAGCCACTGAAGCCCACTAAAGAAAAACGTCTCATGTGGGGCAGTTATTGGCATTTTCCCCCATCCAATTAAGTACTTGAAATCTGAGCACACAGTTTTCAGGGCTTAGCACTTTACCATTGGGTTGGGGAAGGAAAGGGGGTTCTTGGTCTTATGCTATTTTTAGCTTTAAAGTGTATTTACTGCCAAACCTTTTCTTTTCATGTTAGATGAAGTGGGAAAGGGTTAGAACCATGGTCATGTTTTTACTGCTGTATTTTTCCCAGCTAGGTAGATTCACCCTCTTGATTCATCCTGGTGACCATTGTTACTGAGACAGAAAGTGATGGGAAATCCAAATTTTACAGTGGGTAAAGGAAAATATTCACATGGGGACACCTGTTCTAGTAGTAACTGTATAAGAGGGGAATTCATTGCACTTTGTAGGGATTTCCTCCCACATCCTGTTGCATCTCTGGAAACCAGCAGCAAAAATTAAACTGACAGTTTTAACCCTTCTCTACTCTAACCAAATCTGAAAAGAACTGTTTTGGCTATACACACACTTTAAGAAAATCAATTATTAGTGCTTAATATCAAGTGGCATGTAGGTTCTAATTTTAATTTCGCAGTTGACATTTCATAAGAATATTGTCTTTTTTCAGAATGTTAGTCATCCCTATTAACTAAAGAGCTATTATTCATAAGTGCTATGCCAGTGCAGTAACCCATAACAACCAATCAAAATGTACTCTGCTGAAGTTAGATCAGTAAAGATACATTCTTGTACTGATTTATGTTATGGGTTACTGCATTTACACATTCACATTACACTTACAAGAAAATAAATATTTACTAAGGTCTGTTATTTTTAAAGGCCATTAGCTACGTTTGTTGGTATAACCAAAAAAGGAAATTAAATAAACGTATTAAATACGAACAATACAACATATGGGCTTATTAAGGACAATTGTATAGTTTTTAATACATAATAACTTAGTTGAGTTTAGTAAAATTTTAGTAAGATCTCTTTTAGTGATTTTTCTCATGTTTTATCACTCCAGCTGCAACATCTGTTTACCCCACATGTGCCAGACCTGACATGCCTGTTGTTTTTTTGTCATGGGGTCTCAAAGGGCCTGTTATGAACTTTGGGGGGACCTTATTTAATTTTTTTGTGTGGGATCCCCTTAAACTTTGGTGGAACAGGCTCTCCCTTAACATCTATAGCAGACCCTCATCTAGGATAAGGGTCAGCTGTAGATGAAGGGAATCACCAACCACTTTATTGTCAGGGTGTCACCTCTCCTCGGGGCCGCCGGGTCTGGTGTAGGGCACGGGACCCCTTCGGCCTGGCAGAACTCCTGGTGCCGGGGGTGCAGGTGCGCATGCGCGAAATGTGCGCCGGGCGTGCATGCGTGGTAGACAGGCTGTCAGGTGTGGGCCTTGCTGGGGTAGGTTCCCAGCACACATCTTTCCATCCCTCTCTTCCTGCCATTGGCTCCCAGACGGAAAAGCCTCCTGGTTGCCCCGGCGACCAGGGAATGGCTTTGATTCCCCTGGCTATAAAACCTGGTCAGAGCCCTGGCTTATTGCTGAGTTATTCCACCTCTATGGTGTGATCACCTAGCCCCTTGTTTGTTTCTACTGCTGCTTCCTGACCCCTCATTTAAACTTCCTGGTTACCGTCCCCTTGGCCTGCCTATCGCTTCTGAACCTCAGCTGCCTGCCTCGACCCGGACTGGACTTGACTACCCCTTTGGATTTGCCCTCTTGTACCTCGCTCTTGGATCTTCAGGTCCGCTTCCTGCCAGTGGGTTCCTACCACCCCTGTGATTCCGCGGCACCGCCTGACATTTATTTACAAATAGAAACTTCAGGCTGGGAGCTGTTGTTTGCTGGCAGTTTACACAGTGATTCTTTTATTTGTAAAATTTTGCTTTACTAAATTTGAACCGCTCCACTGGCAGGTTTAGAGCATCCCCCAATCATGTAATTTAAGTGAATTGTGCATTTCTAATGTTGCTCTTTAAGCAATATTAAAATCACTGCTCCCAGCCAAACAGGGTTTTTTGAACTTTTTTTTTTTGCCTCTGTACATGTGCTTCATGATGCCGCCCAACCCCCTATGCACTTTGTTTGACAATACTTTAAGCTAATCATAATTATCCATAATTAATTAATTCCTCTCCTTCTCCCCTTAGCTATTTTTCTGCTGAATTTTTAGTTCTATTTTTAACCAATATTTAAAATCTTGGTCTTCTACTAGCTCACGATTTAATAGGTTGCCTACCTCACTTATGGAATATGTCATACATATGATTTGAAGTTATTTCATTAATTTGGGTACATGTCTATTATACCATTATCAACAGAGGTGTGAACCTTCTGCATTTTCCATTTACCTCTGAATTTTAGGTTCAATTTAACTGACAGAATTTAACTGTATTGATAGCTTCCACTTTTTAT